TTATTGATATTAAATATATACTCGAGTATATATAATTACTCCATATATGACTATGATTAATATTATTTTCTTGTCCTCAACATAACTCTTTGATTGTCACTCTATTTCGCCTTTAATTTTCAAATAATTAAGGAGTATGCTTCATATGGGTAATGTTATGTCCACTCTAATTTTTTTAAATTAAATCTACTTTTTTATGTTATTACATCGATAAATTTGTCTATCTATTCATCATAAAAGTGGCAAATTTAGACAAAATATAATAACATTCATTTTATATTAATATAATTCTTCCATCACTACAAACATTTCTTATAATTACGGTACTTATTCAAAATGTAAACTGTAGACATTTAACCAAAGATAAATGCTGATACTCCGAAATAGATTCGAAAAACGTTTGAAAAACAACAGAATACAAGGCTTGTTTGTAATGGCGGATCCAGGATTTTTTTTACTGGGGGCACATGAGATTTGGTCAGCCAGCACAACCGCACAAATATACATTGTAAAAAATAAGTACAAATTATGGAGTAATAAAAATATACTCCGCATGTAATTAAACTTAGGAAAATAACTAAAAAAAGACTAAAATATAACAAATACTCCCTTCATCCCAAATTAGGATTCACATTTAATTTGATTTTTTAGGGTCAAAATTATATAGTAATTAAAAAACGTTGACCATAAATTTTGAAAAAAATGTATTGAATAGTATAATAAATTTAATATATTTGATTCCTGGAAATAAAATTTTGAAATGTCACATTTTTATTAAAAAAAATTAATGTCTAAATATTAAATATAGATATTAACGTTCAAATATCAATTACAAACTGTAAAGTCAAATGAGAACATTATTTTGGGACGAAAGTAGTAAAACCAAACAAGACTTTCATGATTTTATCTCTAAATATGACCTACAATGTCAATAATTTCAACATATAATAATAAAAGATTATGAAATGTCAATTTACAGTACCAAATTATGAAATTATCGTATTTTAAAGATAAAAATAGAGAAATCTTGTTTTGGGTATAGAATGACACACACATTTTTGAATGGGGGCACGTGGATTTTTCTAATGGGGGCAACCCTCTTATAAATCCATTTTTTTCATCTTATACTTGGTAGTGTAAAAATTTTAACACATGACTGGGGCCATTGCCCCCCTATCTACAAGGCGGCCAGTGCTTGTTTGAGAATATCGTTAGAGATTAGCGTTAGCATTTTAAAAAGGCTATCTTTGGGTAGCGTTTAGTGTTTGTAGCCTTCTCAAAACTAATATGTACCATTAAAATTTTATTCAAAACTCTGACGCTAATTACTAACGCTATTTTCAAACATGCCCACAATCTGAGAGTAAAAGGGAGATTGGATATGTTAGGTTTGATTCAGAAAAATAAGGACAAATAAAAAAAGAAAGGGATCATAATTTTAATAGAAATGAGAAAGATTTTTCTGTGACGAATAAAAAAAGAACGGGAAAGAAGTTTTTTGGACGAACGGAGTATAATTTTAATTATTTAATTTATGCTTAAAATGTTTCTAGTTTCAAAAAAATCAAATTAATTAAGTGCACACTACATTAGAGTTAGAGAGAAGTTATTGAAAAATGGTTTTCGGTGGCATCTATCAATGTCAATGTTGAAAGTCAATTTCACTTGAAATTGTACACTAACCTTAATGGTTATACTTATTGATAGAGGTGAGCATGTATCAAAATGATCCTGAAAATTCTCAAAAACCCCGAAGATTCCAAATTGAAAGATACCTTAAAAAATTGAGTTGTATTGTATTGAACGATCAATTTGGCATTTAGGAACGTTAATTATGTGTACCTAAGTTGAACTTTTATTTGAGTTTGATTCTATGTAGATAAACTTTTATTCAAGTTTAGTTCTATGTTTTGATTTCATTCAATTTTTAGGTTTGTGAATTACAGACTATGTTAATAACCATTTCTTGTATTGAAATATTTATTTTAATATTTATTTTAATGTTTCTTCATGTTAAAGAGTATAAGTTTTTTTTTTGCATCATTCACATCTGAACTTTTCAAAAAATACACAAACTTCTCCTAAACTTTAAAAATCGCACCAATGCTCCCTGAACATTTAAAAATAAAGTTGCACGAATAGTCTCTCAACATCATATTTGGAGTGCATTAACCACAGGCTCATCTAGTGCAAGCATGGACTCATATAAAGTTATATATCACACGCGAGTCCTGCAATATGTTTATCCCAGACATTATCTTCTCTACTTTTAATTTAAAAATTTTCTTGATTTAGTCGTCGCTAACCAAATTTGAAGCTCGGACATTCGTCGATCAACCTCTTCATCAATTGATCAATCTTTTAATCAATTTATGACATATCCATCAAGCTTCAACACATATATTGATAATTGTTTAATTAAAGCTTTCCCAAAACTGGCGCAGATGGACTATTGGTGTAATATTTTTAAAAAGTCGAGGATATATTGGTACAAATTTTAAAATTTAGAGTGAATCCACATAATTTTTAAAAAGTTTAAGGATAAATGACGCAAAAAGTTCAAAAGAGTATTCTTGGTTTTTGCATTAAAAAAAGTGTATTCTAGATTTTTCGAAAATAATTATATTTTGAAAAGGTCTCCCTTGTGCTCATGTTTTCGTTTTGGTACCTCCTTATTTCGAACTACTATAAATAACATAAATACATCCTTTAATATAATATTTGAGAGTTGATAGCTTAGAATTGTGACATGTGGCATTTGAGAAATTTTAATTAAATGACACATCAGCACTATACACGTGTCATTTTTTCAACTACGGAAGACTTTTCCTAAAACAATACCTTCGGTCGAAGACTTTTTTTGAAGCGCAGACAGCTTTCTTCTTCGCGTATCCAGACTATATCTCCAGGGAATTAATCCATGAATCTTCTCCAAAAATGCACCGGATCTTTACGGATCTTTCGCTTAATTTCTTCGCCGAAGGTAAGGAATTCATCATGCACTCACGGATCTTAGGCAGCAAAAATACACAGATCTTTACGGATCTTTACGGATCATGCACTCACGGATCTGAATCAGCACCAACAGTTGGTCGGCGAGTGTAGCATTGAATGAAGGAGGATGAACGCCAACGGCCAAGGTTGGACGAATGCTGCTCTAGGTAATTTTTCCTTCAATTTTGATGCTCATATTATAATTTGGGGTTCCACTAATAATTGGTTCTGAACGTGCAATCCAGTAATTTGTTTTTTTGGAATTTTGATTCTTTTATGCGAGTATAGTGTTATAGAGAAGATCAATTGTTATTGAAAAGTTCACATATGCTCTGTTGAATTTGATTTGAAATCATATTCTTCATAAACTATGTATATTCTGTGTAAAATTATCTCATTAATAAAAAAAGTATTTTATATGTGGAAAATATCATGCAAAGATGAGTGTTTTTGAAGTATTTTAGACATGAGTGTTTTTGAAGGATACTTATTGATTAGTTACTTTTACAAAAAGAAAAGACATAAATTGGCATAATAGAAATATTAGGAAGAGATGTGATTGGTATGTTTTCTTTTCTATTGTAATCCGTAGGGTGTTCTATTATTTGAAGGTGATGTTTCTCAACACTTTCGATTTCTTTGAGTTTAATTTGTCTTCTAATTAAGGTTTATTTTACCCTTGCTTTTATGGAATCGACATGGTTTATTTGTGTTCATTCTTAGCGCCATATTTTCTTAACTTTCTGTTTTCCACAACCAAGATTATCCATCTCCTTTAATTTTGAAAATTATCCCGACCGGTGAGTGTGAGGGTTAAAGTGATATGAGTATCAATTCAATCAAGAAAATATTTATTGACAAATTTGTAAGTTATAATTTTTTTTGTGGTCGGTCTTTTTTGGTGGTGTTCATTTCATGGTGAATGAATTTATTCTCTTTAATTTGTATATTGTTATGAGCTTATGAAAGTAACTTTTATTTCAATTAAACTACGATGCTTAAACGATTTGAAGAACCCTTTTTTGCTGATTGCAATTAGGAGAGTATGAGGCTTGAATTATTTTTTAAAATCTAAACAAGTCAGTGTTTTAAAAATTGAACCACATTGTTTAACATAAACTACATAAAAGTTGTCAAAATAATTGCATTCATCTTCATCCTTTGTTTAGAGTGGTGTATGTGTGAAGCTGTCTTTTATTTCTCTTATGAGAGTTAGAATGATATCGACACTATATTAAACAATGAAATTATGATGGAGTAGTATTTCACATGGCTAAGAATATCTCAAGAGTCAAAATGTGTATTGTTTTAGACCATGGTGCTTGCTATATACCAGGGTATGAATTCTTTTATTGGAGGTCAGATTTAGTAAAATAGTAATATTGTCTCTTTTTTGTAATATCATATTCTCTTCGTGCATATGGTCTCCAAGGAACTACTCTGAACCATGCATGCTTCTATTCGTATAAGGTGGTTCACATTCTTCCAACACCAAATAATAAAAGGTAAGATTGACATTTTTTCTGTTTTGAAATCAGCAATAACACTAGGCTTTATTTCACATCCCTACATGAATTCTGCCTTAATTTTCAACCAAGAAACACTATTTATTGTAAGGAAATATGGTGATCTGAGTGTGACAGATCAAGAATATATACAGTGCTCAGATGCTCTACTCTTAAGCCAAGGTAAACAAGCATTAACAATGCTTCTTTTGCTAAGATTTCTTGGAGATGATTTCCTAACATGGTCATTTCTTATACGGTTTTTATTATATTTACAAGGTTTGTGTTTTGTGTTTGTTTGTACTTTCATTCACTGACGTATGACTACACCCTTTTATTAATAGAGATGAGCATAATGGGTCTATATTTACATCTTATCTAAACATAGATGAATGAGTTACTTTGTTGTGAGTTTTGTTGAAAAAATTACATATTTCAAAAACTAAAATGATCAATTTTAACTGCCCATTTTAAACGTATAGGATTTACAAATTGTGCAATTTAAATCACTTTTTCTATCCTTTAATATAAAATTTGAGAGTTTGATTCCTAAGATTTTGACACGTGGCAATTTAGGTGTCCTAATTTAAGACACGTAAGCAGTCGTCCACGCGTAAGCTTCTGAGAAAAAAATCAGAAATTCCTTATCAAGGCACTTCTCTTCATCTGCGCGATTTGCGTCTTTCTTCCTGGCCAAAACATCTTCTTCGCCCATTCGCCCAAATATGGCAAATTCAAGAAATAGAAGGAATGGTTCCCAGATTCTTCGCGGATTCTTAGCCTTAATTCCGAAACCTACACCGTCAGGCTGTTAACCTTGATTCTTCGCGGATTCTTAGCGTGCTTCAAGATCCAGGTTATTCCCAAATTACATGTGCGATTCTAATATATTCATCTTCCATACCTATTTCGAGCACTTCTCTATGATTCCCCAATTTTTTCGGTCAATTAATCAATTTTGAATCATGTGTTGCTTAATAGCGAGATTCTAAACCTAATTTATATTCTTTTTCCGTTATTATGTTTGCCAAATCCAAAGTAAATTCTTACAGTAAATTCTACTCATAGAATTTAGGCATATTATTTTCCAGATCAGTGTGCATGAAAAAGTATTGTGACTGCTACCAGGTATTGTTTCTTGAAATAATAAACAACCTATATTTGTCTTAGATGTGCAGCCTTTATTTCTGAACTCATTTTCTAAACCCTATGATGTATCAGGTATAAGTTGGTGATTCACTGCTCTGTCTCTTAACCATTACCCTATTGGACATTTTTAATTCATCATGTAATAAGTCACATTTGTTTGCTCCATCTTTGAAGGCTAATGTTGGATGTTATAGTGCATGTCGTTGTGAAGGATGTATGAACACATATGGACAGAAGGAAGGTAAAATTGGTTCCTCGTGTTCTGGTATTAATATGACATTTAGATCCATGGGAGCATGTCAGTTCACACTTCAGCATCATTTTCTCTGAGGATATCTAAAGCAATTTCACTTTAAGTGAGGACAATGCCACTGCTCAATTGTGCAGCATTAATATTTAATTCCTAAAAATTATTGCAGTTTCCCAGTGGGGAATGTGCTCAGCAATTTTTCCTCTATTAAGGGGTAGTGGAAGACCTAAGGAGAAGCAGACTGAGATAATACATCTCACTAAGGAAATGACTGAAGATAGGAACCATTGTAGACCGACTATTAGAGTTATAGGGTAGACTTTGTTTGAACTGCTTAGCTAGGCATTTAGGTCTTCCCAAGGTTGTGTGGGTGTCCCTGATGTGGCCTTCAGGGAAATTAACCTAGAACAGGTTTAAGTCCCTGTTTACTTCACAAAAACATACAGGTTTAAGAACATTCGTGAAAATAAAATAATCATTTTGAACTCATTTGCACTGCCTGTTTAAATCCTCTGCCATTGCAATTTATGTTTTTTTGAGCACCTTTAATAGGCTGGACTCAATTATATTATAACCCCTTTGAGATCAATAAATCAGGATGCTATAGGTTGGAGCTTATTTAAGTGCAACTTGGACAAAATTTAGTTAAAAACTTAATGATCAACTTCAGAGCTTGCTTATTTACGTCTAAGTACATTCATGGAAATTAAATGTTCATTTTGATCTCATATACAGTGTCTGTTTAATTCCTCTATCGTTTAGGTGTGCATCAGTTTATCTTTTTTGACTTCTGCACTTTATGTTTGTTGAGCAAAAATGTTCAAAAAAATTTGTAAACGAAATTTGCTGCAGTTTATAAACGAGAGCAATGTTATATTCAGCACTGTCTATGTGTTTGTTGAGCACTGTCAATATGAATATTTTATATTTACCAATGTCTACATTGTTGCAGTCTATATACGGAAACAGTGTTATATTTGCTGTAGTGCTCAATATAACATTGCTGCAGGTGGTACACGGCAGTTTCTGTTTAGCTCCTCGGCACAACAGTTTATGTTTGTTAAGCAAAAATAACATTGTGAAATATAATATTACTTCTTGCTTTTGGTGTACTTATTGATACTTAATTAAATTGTTCACACAGAATGTGCCGGGTGGAGACATACAACCAGATCTCTTTAATAGACTCTTGATAGATAAATTATATCTTTTTAAAGTTGAGGTCAGGTGTGCACACTTCGATGAGTTTGATCCTTCCTATAATGTTATTGACATTTGTTTCGATGAGAAAACCATCTCGCAATTCAAGGCAACAAATTTGAAATTTTTTTTGTCCGGGTTTGATTACATACGTAATGTAATATACATTTGGCTTTAGTGAAACTTTTGTTACGAATAATAAACACGTTGGTTTTAAGATGCTAATAAAATACTGTTTTGTCAAACCATTGGTTATAGACTGATGTGAGTTTGGGACTTTCAACTGGGGGAAAATCATCACAGCATACCTTCTCTGTGGGCGATGCATTATCATGTGTGAAGGTGTACATTCTCAAAGACTTTATCAAGTATATTAACCTTTCTAAGTGAGATTTTATAGTAAGGAATAACATGTGTGAAAGTGTGAGTCTAAGTGCTCTCACTTACAATCACTATTTTGATTAATTTAGCAATGTTTTAAGTAATGAATGCTTTGGATTTGTATAAAAATAGTCCAAACTATTTTAATAGGGCGGTTTCCTAGATTGCCCAAAGTAATAAATCATCCTAAAATCTAGATCACAATGTTCGCACCAACTGTGGTACTGTTAATGTAACTTGCATTAATTTCTTTGTTTTGTATTACAGAATTTGATTGAAGATTTTGTGGAATCAAAGAGACTACACTGTGGACAAAAGAATGAAAAAGTTGAACATTGTGATAGAGACGGTAAGAAAATGAAGACCATTAAAATAGAGAAAAGTTAAGAATAGAACTCCATAGAGTGAACTTGAGAGAATTAATATTCTTTAGGTTTGGACATGTGTTAGACAGTTTATAATTTATAATTGTTGGATCCTTTGTTTTCTAATTTTAAAAATATTGGATTTTTTATGCATTTAGTTTTTTAAAGAAGATTTCATGTTTGAATAATTTATACTAAATGCAATATTTTTATCCTCATATAGAATACTTTGATCTATTATATGCTTCAAAGTATAATTTTATAAAATTTATATTATTTTAACTTCTTTTCTTTCAATTTATTTAAAAAAATAATGGGTGTGGGAGACACTAATACTGATTTTTTGGTTTATTTTCATTAAAGAAAAGAGTTGGATTTCATAATATCAATTAGGAGCAAGACTTTTGAACATGTAAAATTACCCAAAAATAATCTTATGTATTGAGTTTTCAGATCCAAAGAAAAGAGAAATGGATTTTGGCGAAAGAAGCAAGAACACGACGAAAAAATAGACTTCAACAAAGAAGAGTGAAGAACAGTTAATTTACCATGGTTTTTTTAATCTCAAATCGATTTTAAACATATATATATGTCACTCAGTATTATGTGAATAAATATTTTTTTCTGTTTTTAGCTTTTGTAAGTTCTATTAGAGAGGTTGACAAATTGTCTTCAATGTCAAAATATAGATCAACATCAATAATAGATCTGCTGGAGATGTGACAAATGATATCCATATATTTCTTTATGATTTAAATATCTAATATATGACTATGCATGGCATATATTAAATCATACAAATGAAATAAATAATATAACCGAGCAGATTGACATCTTATGTTTTAATTCTTAAAAAACCAGTGTTTGCTTCGCACCAAGTGCAATCGTCAATTTGTATATCACGGACACGGAAGAATAATGATGCAACAACTTCGGCACAATTACAAATGCAAAAAAGACAGAGATTCAATGATCTCTCTTCCATATCACATATCGTTGATTTCACCGAAGATAGTAATTCTACAATCGTATCATTCATTATACTTCTAACATTGTAGATTATACTCCCTCCGTCCCTAAATAAAATTCCATTTTTGACTTTTTGAGGATTTAAGGGAGGGATATTTTTGTGTTGACTTTCCAAAAATACCTTTGATGTGATGTGTAAAAGTAAGATGTGATAGGTAGATTATTAGTAAAAAGGTATGATGTGATAGGTAGGGTATGAAAAAGTAAGGGGTAAAAGGGGTTTTTTAAGGGAAAAGAGAAGTTTATTTAGGGACAAAGAAAAAACGAAAGAGAAACTTTATTTAGAGACGGAGGAAGTATTTACCAATATTTTTAACCATGTATTAAACCGAAAATTTAACAAAGTTAAAAGCAACATGCGTTCGATCCCGTGCGTTGCACGGGTTAAATACTAGTAATCATAAATTGTTGCATTTTATAATACAATAATTATCTGCTCCGTAATATTATAATGATGAATAATGAGAATGTTTTTAAAACTAATTGATTGTCCATTGAATTTTTAAACAAGCTAAGATATTGAAATTTGATTTGAATGATAAATGCTAGAGCCACAAACTAATCATTAGCTATACAAATGACTCTACGAATGTGGTCTTTAACAACAAGTATTAGATAATGACTAATTATTTCAATAACTATTTAAATTATTTTTAATAATGTCTTATTCTACTTGAATTGTGTAATTGCTCTTTTTTTAAAGGCATGGTATTTTAAAATTTTCCATTACCAAATATTAGAGTAGATAAAACTGATCATATTTAGAAAAAAGTGATATGTCAGGCCTATTTAAGTTAATAACTCATCTTATATTTATAAATTTTGCAATCATCTTTATCTTAAAATTGTTTCTTTTTTAGATGAAATAAAGGAAGTGCCAAAGTAGTATCCACGTGTGCATGAATTGGCACATCAAAATCGAAAGGGTACGTCATATTAGAGCTTAATCCATTAAACTTCTCTCATGACTTGAGCGGTAGTAAGCCCACTCTCTAAAATTCATGAAAAATTCACTCGGATTTGAGTCCTAATGAAAGCGGAAGTATTGAGTCTTTGTACCTCAATAGGCAGAGAATAATATGAACAAATATTATCTTATAATAAAGTCAATAGCATTAATAAAAAAGAGCTTAATCACATTATACCCCTCTTAATTATTTTGTTACACGAGCCTTGTTATCTATTCATATGATATCACAACACAAAATATACACACATCATTACATCAACCACTTTTGATCCAAATAAAACTCAAAAGTTTTAATATTAATGACGCCAGTATATAGGACGGATTTCTTCTAGCTAAATTTAATTAGAGATAATAACTCCGTAATATGATAGCATAAAATTCCGTGAAGTCCAGGCGCCAGATGTAACTCGCAAAACCTTATACGCGTCAGTTGACTATTGACTATTAAGAATATTTAGAAATTTATACTTCCTCCATCCGGTAATATTCTTCACGTGTTGACTTGACACGCTGATAAAAAAAATACTAAATCTCCAAAAATGCATGTACTATAAACTTTTAGATTTTCTTTTTCTTAATAAAAAACTAATAAAAAAAGTAAATTAGTAATAAAATAGAATGATATTATTAAAATTTATCCTTAAAAAGTTGACTAAAAAAGAAAATGAGAAGAAAATTTTCAAACTACCAAAAGAAAAATGAAAAAAAATATTTCCAGACGGGGGGTTGGGATCTAACTAAAGTAGGAGTAAAAATTAAAAATATACTCCCTCTGTCCCAAATGATTATAAATTAAGATTTACAAAATAAAATGTAGTACTTTTTGAAATTATTTTATTTAAAAATTGTAATATCAAAAAAAATAAAAACTATATATATTAAAAAAAATTCTTTACAAAAAAAGATGACATGAATATTTTATTTTATCAAATAATCTATAAAAATACATTAATAAAAAAAGTTATCAAGAGGAGAAAAACAAAAAGACTGTAATCAAAATTGAGACGGAGGGAGTATCAAAATAAATGTTTCAGAATATTATTTTCGAAATATGAGTTAAAATATAATTACAGTGCTAATCATAATCACATACATTATTAAAAAGTATTATGAAATATCTATATAAAGTACTACATTAATTTCCACAATGCAAACTTCTATTTTGAGGATGACAAACACGAAGCTCTTATTTTTATATTTTATCTATATTTTAGGGAGAAAGACCAAACTAGGACTAAAACATTGAGAATATACCAAAATAGGACTTCCATGTTTTTATTCCCGAAATAGGACTTACATTACCAAACATGGTCATATACATTACCAAAAAAGTATAGTAATTTGCACATGTACACTGCCACATTACCACAATGCAAAGTCACATTACCACAGTGCAAAGTCATTTTCCGGAAAAAAAACATGAAAATCCTATTTTGGTACTTTTCTCTATGTTTTAGTCCTATTTAGAATGATTTCTATATATTTTACTCTTATTTAGAGTATTTTTTTTTTTATAACGCTCTCTTCATATGAATTTAACTGTAAAGTTTCCAAAATATATCTGTTGTCTACATAGGGCTTATGTGGGCAGGGTACCCCCAGTGACGAAGTCAATTAGAATCAAATCTTTAACATCTAATTCGAATATTAAAACTATTCTCGATCTCCACCCTAATTTAATCTTTTCATTTTATGACTTCAAAACCAACTAAATTTAGAGGTACAATAGAAAAGTACGAGTGAGAGGGTGCGAGTCGAAGCAAGCATAGAAAAGAATTAGGTTTTCACATACAAAGTTCAAAACAGTTGTTAACACTAACATTTTACTTTATGTTTCATTAGAAAGTTTTTGGATCTAGTGAGAATGAAATCTAGTCAATGAAATAAGAATGCATGTGGTGCATTAGAGAGTATGATCTAAGGGTCATAAAAAATAGAAAAATAAGCAAAATTCTGGAAAAACACTGTGGCATTTCAGTAAATAATTAAGTCGAAGTTTTATGCAATTGCAAACATGCACAACCATAATATAAATAGGCACTGTGATTAGAACAAAAAATTCACCCTTCTTATTTCTTTTTTACCTGATATATCAGCAAACACCCCATATATAATGTCTGCAACTTAATGGTCAAAGATCAATGTTTCAAACCTTATTTAGTTTAGGTGGAGTGCAATGAGCTGCTAATTGTGATTATAAATGTTTATTAGATATCCATCTTTTGAACATCTCCAAACATTCTTTAGGACGATATTCCGGTGCCGTATGACCTGCTCCCTGCATACACGTGCGTATTCAAATTATTTAATTTCCTATATCAACCATGCTAGGTGTACACTGTACCACAAAGATTGTATCTTAAAAGTTAACATTTATATTTTGATGGTTTACATGGACACAAAATGTCAGTGAGATCGCAAAATTTCGCACTAATATTATATGTCAATGTAAGCCATTAGTCTCGCATTTGCATTACACAAAATGTAAGTGTAATTTTCAAGGCATATGTATAAATATACACACACTTTTTATGAACTCTCTCCATCTAGAAATGTTCTTATTATCAATATAACATTGTGATCACTAATATGATATATTTATACATAGATATATCTTATACAAGTTTAATATTTTAAAACTACGTTCAAAAGGAAATCTATTGATATGACATTTGTAGCATGACACTATATTTTTGCATATCGATGTCATAATTTATAAATTTTAACAAAAAAAAGTCAATTGGAAATAAGATTTTTGGAGGGAGGGAGTATATCTCACACACATAGATTATAGAAGCCTTGCTTGTCAAAGCACTAACTCAACCAAAAGCTCAGACTTGTGGTTGTAGACCTAAGACATGTTTTATACTCTAACACGCCCTACACGTGCAGGTATGTTTTTTTTCACAAACCTTGCATGTAAAGATTATATTTCTTTAGGAAATGACTTAAGTTTTAGTGCTATTTAGTGTAAATATTTCTTTAAAAAAAGTTAGGTGACAATGAAGCCTGAACTCGTGACCTCTTGATCATCAAGACACTGTTATGATGTCAAAGATGAAACTCGATCAATCAAATACTCAAACTTGTGATTGTAGGTCTGGGATATGTTTTATACTTTTTAACAAACACCAGACTCAATTAAATTGTGCAAAGTGTACCTTGACGGTTGCAAATGTCATTTGATTGGCATATTTCGTTGTGTACCTACAGAAAACAGCGTATATAGGAGGAAGATTACATTTAGTATTTTTGGGATAGACGGAACACACACACACATATATACTTACATACATACATACATACCCTGCAACTTGTCCTTCCACCATCCATGGCCTCCAATCGTCGATCACAGAATAATTTAACGACTTTATCCATGCATGAGTTGACAAATATGGAATGAGCATATCATGATCACCGCTGCATATGAATGCATGCATGCATTTTATGTATTTCACCACTTTATAGTTTAATTTATACATGATATATATTATTATGTACGTATGGTAGAATATAAAAAACACAAACAAAACATTGATAGATAATGCAAAAAAAGTTTCTTGGGACGGAGGCAGTGATTAATTACCTATAGACAAGAGACCTGTAACCCATTCTGCTCAGCCTCGCATGATACGGTATGACATTTCGGACGAGGCCTGTGAAGGGTAAGTTTGAGGTACAATGTTCCCATTTTCCCTTCGTCCCCTGCACAACATTAATTTGAAGAATAAACCTAGGGGTACACCAAAATGGGGTACCCCATTTGTACACCAGGCAAACACAGACACTTAGTATCTGTGATCCACAGACACTGTGTTTGCCTGGAGTACAAATGGGGTACTTCATTTTGGTGAACCTCTAGCATGCCCCTAATTTGAATTGCGACCCCATGCATTCATATTTGGTAATGATAATTAAATCGCGACAATATTTCATTAGGCATGCATTTTTTACCTTACGGACATGAAGGGCTTCTCGGGAACGATCATCGTTGGCCCAAGACTCAATCTGTATGTTCCAATCTTCCTACAACGTAACATGATGCCGCCTGATTCAACATTCATTTGCACAACTCCCGAGTGTGTGTGTGAATAAATTAAATGCGCTTATTATGAACATGCGTACCCGACATTTCAATCCTGGAAGCAAGTCCGGATTCTTGAGCCGTCGTTTTTGCTTGTAGTACTTGTCCAACAAATACCTTTTGTTCTGGCCCGAGGGCAAAATTGGAAAAAACTGTCTTGGTGATGATGATGCTGATGATGATGCTTCTATCGAAGAAGAAGAATCACCATCACCACTAGTCACACAACCAGGCTCCAAAATATAGGGACTATATATTCCCTCAATCAACTGCAATGCAAATGCGCACGTTATTACTTACGTCCTCCGTAATATAATGCATAAACGCAACTTACTAATTGACTAAAAAAGTATAAGTGATGCTGAAATTAACTACTGACTAGTTCAATCATATCAGTTTAAATATTTTCATATAATGCAGATATGCAACCTCAGACCTGTTTATAGGTTTGTAGGTGTTGCTGACATAGTAAATTGGTAGGATCAGTGTCCGAATAATACTCTCCTTTGCAATCCCTTTCTAGCCCCTGTTTGAGGTATGCATAGAATAAGGGCAACTATATTACTAACTTTGATCCAAATCATCATTAATTAAGTATTTTTCAACTTGGTAATAATAAGATCAGAGTTGTTAATACTATATAGATATTCCCGATCCAATAATGGAAAAGAAAAACCCGCTGCACGTGCGTACGCACTTGGTATAACTCGTCAGAGATGAGTGCCAATCTGTGAGCAAATGGTATTCTGTTGTTGAAGTCAGCTAGAGAGGTTGTAGGATTACCAAGTATGTACCCCTGCATCATCATACTTTATTATTAGTATGTCTGTTATGTATGTGTGAGAGTCTGTATGTATATGAGAAACAAAAAAAGTTGTACAATTAGCTATAGATTATACTTCGTATTCGACTAACTATTCATGAGAGATATACCGAGTTCAATCTTTAAATTAATTGCCGAAATATAAAAGAGGGAAAGACTGAAAGAAAATGAATGGAAGCATGTGTGGTCCAATTGTTATTTCTAAAGAAATTTGTTTCTTTTTGGCTGAAATGTTTTTGATTGGTTGAAATTTTACACGTCACCATGGGGCATTTTGTTTTTGCATCACCATTGCATATGCTCTTAGGTCTACCATGGAATTTGTCATATTTTAGATTTTATAAATTGCCCAATTCAAATGGAGGAAACTACGAATTGAATGATTAATAAATTTAGACCTGAAGTTGAACAAATGGCTTAATTCCTCTGTCGTTTCCTGCACGCATTCTAAAATTAGTATAGAATTATGAAGTATAATATACATTTTCTTCAACAAAAAAAAGTATAATACACACACACACAGGAATTGTTTTATAAAACCAGAGGTAAACATATCTATATTCTTTTATCAAATTCTTAATAAGAATGCTCTGTATGTAAAGAAAGAATATATAGTTTAACATACTCTATCCGTCCCGAATTAATCGTTCTAGAGTACTTGTTTCGCTTCTTTACTTTCCTAATAAAGTAAAGATTATGTAGTCCACAATCTCTCTTTTCTCTACTCAAATTTGAACCACTTTTAACTTTTCAAGCTTTTTAAAACTTTGTAAAGTCAAATTTGAGAGACATTTTAGGGACAAATTGGAAAGGAGCACAAAATAAGTGTACAATAAAACTTTGTTTTAATTTTTTTTAAATAAAAGAATAAAGCATTTCGTCCAACCATATATAATACTCCATAATTAATATTAAATACGTTACCATTGGATATGATTTCAGTAACGATTGGAACTGTGATGCCGGCGTAGGAATCGCCACCAACATAGAAAGGATTTGCAAGAAACTCTGGATTCTCTACTAACCACTGCAAATCAGATCACTAAATAAATTAATGTATTCTTAGCTTATCGTTTGATTTCGTTATACTAATATGTAATACAAACTGAGAGTAATTAAAGTTCAGAATTTATCCAGTTTGACTTGAAAAAAGTCAAACAGAACAAATCCCACGAAAGTAGTATAGTGTATGTCTGAATATACTCGTAAAGTTTTCTAGTTTGGGAATGGACCTTTTGAAGAAATTCATATGCATTGGAACCCATCAACAAATCATCGGAATGGAAAGCAGTTGAAGTTGTAGCATACGAAAATCCAGTCCCAACTGGTAAATCCAGAAATATAATGCTAGCAACCTGCAGATGCATGCTATGATCATCATGATCAGATTTGTTTATAATTAAAGAGTATATTATTAATCTCATTATATATATATATATATATATATATATATATATAAACTTTTCCTGAGCCTACAATACAAACTTGAACTTTTGGTTGAATTGGTTCCTTACATGGTATCAGAGCCTTTTTTACCAAGTCATGAGGTCGATACTCACCACCACTCATTTTTTAAAAAATTAAGATTTCAAGTGCAAAACTCATAGAAGTCACACTTGCACGTGAGGGGCGTCTTAGGATGAATCCATGCAATTTGATTTCATTGTGATGAATTTATATAGCCAAGGGTTGTCCCACTTTAATAACTAGTTTTTGGGATGTCGTTCTCTCTTGTGCTAGCTTTTGAAAAAAAATTGTAGAAATATAAAACAAAACTCAAGAGTTTTGAACTCATATATTTGAACGAGATTTTTACGTCATTTACTCCAAAACTTTTTTGAAAATTGCATGGACTCATCGTGAGATTTGAAATTTGCCCCAATGTAGGACAATGAAATCAATCCGTAACATTTGACCACCCATAAGGCCCATCGTCCTCGTTGGTCACGACTACGCTGGTCATGGTCACGTTGGTCACGACTGATTTCACCAAGCCACCGCTCGAGTTGGCTTTAATACCATTGATATAACACAAGGAAGAATCACACCCTAAAAGCTAGTCATTGAAGTGGGAGAAACTTTGGCTATATTAACCCATTACCAATTCCCATATTTGACCGATGTGGAAGAGTGAAATCAGTCCATAACATAAGCACAAATTAAAGATCCAACTGGACAAAAGATTAATTAATCACCTTTGTCCAAGAATAAGGGAATGGCAGTAACCTGGGCAAACTCCCATCAGACTCCACTGGTTCAATAAGCAATGGTCCTGCACACACGAATAGTAAGCTATTCTATTTTCTATTGGTCTATTTTTTAAATTCTCACTACGTAGTAAATAAAGTATGCCAAATTTTGAGTACATTTCCCAATATTACACATCAAAGATTAATCCTGAGTATAAAAAGTCACACTCTGCCTCTGTAACATACCGGTCCCAAGCCCGGATAAAAAAGGAGGGTTGTGTTAGGTCTAGGCAACCAACGTAAAACTTTGTCAAAGTCCAGCCATAATCAACAGCCAACAAAGTCCTGTTTGGCCTGCAAATGCTCAGCCGCAGCATGGTTTGCTTGCTAGTCGTCCTCGCATCTTGCTAGTCCCAAGAAATATTTTTTGGGAAGGATGAAAAATGGATGAAAGATTTTTAGAGACGGAGGGAGCTAGTAACTTATTTGCTATAGTTCAACGTAGTATAATTTTTACTTTGATATTGTTGGAGTCATTGCTTGTTCATTTCTTTGTAAGAATTATAGAAATTATAGAATTATAGAAGTATAATTTTTACTTTGATATTGTTGGAGTTATTTCCATCATCTCCGATGGAGCCAAAATTTCACCATTTTTTGGCTTTGGAGTGTGATGGAATAAATCAAAATGGATCTCTAAACTGTCTGCGCTTCTTTAATTAATGAAGTAGCAGTTAGTCAAGCAATGCAACTTTCGACGTTGAGCCGGGGGTCTCTTTGGAAACAGCCTCTCTACTTTCGAGTAGGGGTAAGGTTTGCGTACACACACCCTCCCCAGACCCTACTCTTGTGGGATTTAACTGGGTTGTTGTTGGATGTAATTATAGAAAATAAATTACCGAGTATGATATATTCTTGTGAACTTGTTTTTTGTGAATTGTGAGTTGGATTTTCATTTTGTATGGATATGAGTATATTAAAATGATTAGGTTATATTATAAATTCATAATGTTTTTTATTACTTATATTAGCGATGATGAAATAATAAATCACTTTCGAAAGATTAAAATAAGATTTTATCAATTGATAATGTATTTCATATTTGCAAGGTGAAGAAAACATACTAAAAAGAGGGTGGGGGGTTACCAATTTCTTGAATGATAGCGCGCAGTGGAGAACAACCAGGGCCTCCCGAGATCCAAAGAATGAGAGGGTCTTCTTTCGGATTTGATTCCGACTTTATAAAGTAATAAAAAAGTTGCACTTGTTCTTCATCTCCCACTCCAATATACCTGCATCCACACACTTATCATATAGGTCAAGTTGAATAAACCATTCCCATTTTAATCGTCATACTTTTTTTAGTCCATCCCAAGTGAATAGTCACAGTAAAGAACGTGTGGTCCATAATTTTCTTCTTTTTCAATATTTTTTAAATTCGATGAAGTCAAGTGATAAACGAGGGCTATAGAGTACTCTCTGGATTAAGCTATAAAACGCTGGATCTGAAACACTCTAAAAATTGAATCCAACCGATTATTTAGTTTAGTTCTAGAACATATATATCCATTGTTTATCTTTTCAACTTTCACGGTGGAATGCTTTCTAACATTATATGAAATGTCAAACTAAGACGATTTGTTGAATTCTATGAAACCATGGATTTTACTTAAGCAATAGAGGTGAATACATGTGGGTATATATAGCTAGAGATCCTAACACAATTAGGATTCTTCTAATATGGTAACTAACTATAATACAATTCTACCATAACTAGGAATATTACTATAGTGTCTAACATCCCCCCTCAAGCTGAACGCCGTGAAACGAGTGGAAGCTTGGAAACCAAAAGAGTATAGCGTGGGGTCGGTAAGGCTTTGGTGAGGAGGTCAGCCAGCTGCTCTGCAGACGGAACGTGCGACACCTGTTCCCGCACAAAATGACAATCGGTACCCACATCCTTCATGCGTTTGTAAAAAACTGGATTCTTGGTTAAACAGATAGCGGACTGATTGTCACAGTAGAGATGTGGTGGAGGGAGCTTAAGCTTTAGAATGTCAAACAGATAGGAGAGCCACATTACCTCAGCGGCAGCAGCCGAGAGAGCCCGGTACTCGGTCTTGGTTGACGATCGAGATACACGACTTTGTTTCTTTGTGCTCCAGGAGATGAGATTTGAACCAAAATAGACCAAGTAACCTGTAATAGAGCGGCCATCCATCATATCATTTGCCCAATCGGAATCAGAATAAGCTTGCAGCATCTGTGATCCTCTATGAAAGATTAACCCCCGATCAATTGTGCCTTTTACATAGCGTAGGATACGTGTCAACGACTGGAAGTCCCGTTCTGTAGGAGCATGCATACGCTGACAGACATGATTTACCGCAAACTGAATGTCTGGCCTGGTATTAGTCAAATCTTGAAGTGAACTAACCAAGCTGCGGAAGAAGGTAGGATTTGCAAAGGGACAGTCTGCCCCTTCCTCGGACGACCGTACCAGAATAGGGGTTGGCGACGGCTTGCACTCCTCCACACCAGCTTTCTGAAGTAAATCCCGGGCATATTTTTCTTGAGAAACAATAATATAATCCTTCGTACGTTTGACCTCAAGACCCAAAAAATAGTGAAGAGGGCCGAGATCCTTCATCTGAAACTCACGTTGCATGGAGTGAATAAATGCAGTGATAAGGGAGGGATCACTACCAGTGACAATAATATCATCCACATATAGCAGGACAATAAGGACAACATGAGTGGAGTGCTTGACGAAGAAACTGGTGTCATGCTCATTTTTGCCAAAACCATAGTCCTGTAAAAAACCTGAGAGTCGCTCGTACCAGGCCCGGGGAGCCTGTTTGAGTCCATATAAGGACTTCCTCAATTTGCACACATGGCGTGGGTACTTCTGATCAATATAGCCAGGTGGCTGCTTCATGTATATCTCATCGGGGACTACTCCATGAAGAAATGCGTTGGAAACATCCAACTGATGCAGCGACAAGTTATGATTCACAGCAAGAGAGAGAATCAAGCGAATGGTCTGTTGTTTGACCACGGGACTGACAGAGTAGTCCAAGCCATATTCCTGTGTATACCCTTTTGCCACCAACCGGGCTTTGTACCTGCTAATAGAACCATCAGAGTTACGTTTAATTTTGTAAATCCACTTACAACCAATAGGAACCTGATCCACCAAGTCCCATGTGTGCTGATTTACCAAGGCAGAGTATTCTTCGTCTTCGGGAGGCTTCCTTATATGTAACAGGCTCAGTATCAGGTGGGAGAGAGTGAGGGACAGAAGTAGAGTAGAGTTTGGGTTTGAAGATACCATTTCGGGCACGAGTTGTC